TGCTAATAAAAGGTTAGAGGATAACACTTAGAAATAACAATACAATAATGAAAGTAAAGGTGAGTACGTACATAGATAAAGAAAATTATAAAGGAAGGTAAAAATAAAAACAAAAACAAAGATGTGTAAAGATATAGGCAAAAATGAAGACCAAGGTAAATTTAAACACTTCACTTATATATATAAGGGCAAAGGTGAAGGGGAATATGTTGATGAAGAAAATGATAAACATAAAAGTAAAAACAAAGATGAGGATGAGGATACCGATACAAGTAAAGATGAAGATAGGGGAGAAAGATTAAAATAAAGGTAATTAAAGAGGAAAGAATATAGAGAGAGACACAGAGACTCAATCTGGGAACTATTTTGGGATTTTAGAGATTTTCGAGATTCTCGAGACTCATCGATTAAATAAGCGATATTTTTATCGGTTTTGTTATCGATATTTATCGATTTTGTTATCGATATTTACCGATTTTCTTATCGATATTCATCGATTTTGTTATCGATAATTATCGATTTTGTTATCGATTTTGTTCTTGATTTCGTTATCGATTTTGTTATCGATATTTATCGATTTTGGTATCGATATAAATCGATTTTGTTATCGATATTTATTGATTTTGTTATCGATATTTATCGATTTTGTTATCGATATTTTTATTGATTTTCTAATCGATTTAGCTACCAATGGTATTATCGATGTTGCTATTGAAATTTTTATCGAATTTGTCATCGATTTTGTTATCGATATTTTGATGGACGTTATAATCGATTTTGTTATCGATAGAGTATGAAGATAAAAATGAAGATAATGGAAAAACAGAATAACATGAATGTTATTAAAACGAACAGTGGTAGAGGTAGGGATCTTCATTGATAGAAAAAAAGCGAAAAATATAACCTTAAGCAAAAGCAGATGTGTGTATGTATAGATAGATAAGTAACGTAAGTTTCACTTCCACAGTGTGGCCCAGGCGCACTTACTTATTTTTAAGTTTGTATTTAAAATTATGAAGTAAAAATCATATTGAATTATAATAAATCATGTTTACCTGTAGAAAAAACCCATTTTACAAAACAATAGATATGGATTTTGGCGTTATTTTAAGCTTTAGCTTTACACTTTTACTTTTCAGACCGCTGCCTCAACTAACACCTTACCACCGCACAGTGCGAGATTTTGCAAATCTAGCCAAAGTTTTAAAGATATCAACTTGAAATTTTGCATGATTTTTAAGAACACATGCTTCAATATGGTTATGAATAACTGGTTTCAACTAGTGTCAAAGGGGTCTAGTTCCGAACTATCCCTAAAAATACTAGTTGGAGACAATTTTTTCCGGAGTAAAACAAAAAAAAAAAAAAATTTTATGACATACATATGTTGGGCAAATGTGAAAGAAGTTGCATGGTAATTGGAAAAAAATTAAAAAACATAGGTCAATAGGAACTTTTTATACCAAATGGCCGAACTATCCCTAAAAAGACTAGTTGGAGTATATTTTTTCCGAAGTAAAACTAAAAAAATTGTATGGCATACATACACTCAGAAAAAAGCATTTCCTTAAAACAAGAAAACAGTATCCTTATTTTAGAGTTACTGTTTTTTCTTAATATTACGAAAAATTTACTCAATTTGAGAAGTTTTTCCTTAATTAAGGTTCATGCTAAAAATAGGTCGTCATTAATTTGAGGAAGTAAATTTACTGATAAGTAATAATTTCCTCAATATAGTTAAGTAATAAATAATTTCCTTAAATAATTTTGAATTTTGTCAGTGCTGTTAAGACAAAGTTAATTGCTTTCCTGGAAAATGTCGGCTGTGGGGTCGCGTGAAGACTACTGCTTCTGGTTCTGAGATCGCAGGTCCGGTTGGAGGTGGTTAGAGTAAGGTAAGTCAATTATTTCAATTTAAATATAAATTACAAAAAGTAAAATTAATTTCATATGGGGAAAAACCTAAATACTTAAATACTATAAAAAATAAATTAAAATTAATTTAATACAATTTAAAAAATTACAATAAAAAAAATAAATATAAAAAAAAATTCCTGCTCTGGGACTCGAACCTTGAATCTATCGACTAGTACTCCAGAGCTTTGCTCTGTTGGCTATTGCCACTGTTTGAGCGTCACGAGCAAAATGACATACTTATTCACGGGGGATGGAATGGCAAGTAAATTTTTCCTAAAAACTAAGGAATTTTTTTTTTTCGTAAACTGCGTCAAATCGTTTACTCATAGTAAGGCAGCCATGTCATTGGAACCATTTCAAGGTAATATTTCCTTAGAATAATATCCTTTTCTCCTAGCATCAAGGATTTTTTTCTGAGTGTATGTTGGGCGAAATTTAAGGAAATTTCATGACCATTTTGAAAAAAAAAAAATTAAAATGTGTAGGTTTATAGGAACTTTTTTATACCAAAATGGCAGCCAAAGTAAAACAAGGGTAAAAAATTCTTGAAATTTGACTTTATAATGCCCAGATCTCCCTAAAAACTAAAAGAACCACCCCAAGATATGTTTTCCTAAAACGCTGATACTATTGGATAAAAAAGCTCCATAGGTAGTTTTTCATTAGGGTTTTCGTTCAGGCGTGAGAATTTTTTTCTAGAACTACTGCCGATCACCTTCTTAACCCAATAACTTCCCATAGTTGCATTTTAGACCCCACCTCCAATACAATTTTTTATTCGTCTAGACCTGCCCTATCACCTCCCAAAAGAAAAGCACTTATCACTGGGACACCCTGTATAGACTCTCTGAGTTGGAAACTAGTCCCCTTTTACATTAGCTAGAACAAGTTCTCCATAGCCATGTTGAAGCCTATGTTTTCCTTAGCACGCATGCCAAATTTAAAGTTTATATATCTTAAATTATGGCTTTTTACTTTTATCTCACTTTATTTAAGTTGAAAAAAGATGCCTTTGGGCAAAAAATGGGCGAGATTTTATTTTTTAGGTCTATTCTATGAGTATGTACGCTCATCCTGTATGCTTTGTCATAGCCGAACTAAGCTGAACTCGTAAGTTATAGTCTATGAAGGATTCAAGATTTTTGAAATTTGCCTTACCTTTTAGCTGATTATAAAATAATTTCATTAAAATACTTATGTAAGTGCAAATATAAGCGTCCTGTACAGCAAAACATTTTTAGTGAAAGTATTGACCTTTAATACAAAAAAACTCTTTGGCAAAAAACAAACGCGCACAACTTTCAAAGTTTTGTTATCGATGCAAGCTTGCAAATTTGTTTTTGCTTGCCGTTCAATAGCACGCGTTTGATAGCTGTTATCATATCAATGACATTTCTTTTAATCTCTTTTATGCTTATTTTCATAACAATTGGGGTCTTTTCAAACAAATTACAAAATATGATCGATTTTCAATCGCATTTTTTTTCATTTTGGCGTCCTAGATTGACTAAATCTCACACTCGTACCGATCATACAAACAGTACAAAGTAAAATTACATACAAACATTATTTTAGCTAACCCAAGAAATTAAAACCCAAAAATCGATACTTTATTTTTGGATTTATGGGCACGAATCGGGGCCAAATATCACTGGGCGGCGAATGAAATATCCCTCATCGTTATTTATTTTGAAAAAAATCTAGTCGTCTCAATTGATGTGATTTATTTTCATTAATATAAACTGATCTATTTACTGTATAAATTTTTTATCGTTATTGTCTTCATCTTTGAAAATTAAATAAATAGCCTAAACCGGGGACCATCTCATTTTGTCGCGGAGTCTAGTTTTATAAATCTGGAATATAATGAAAATATCTCAATGATAAGTATTTAACGTTAAATTTAGTCTACACCAACTAAAGCTGTACAATGAATTGAACAATAAACACATTTCAGTAGACAAAATGTTTTTTTTTTCGGGTAAGGAAAAAAGACGGAAATGGTGAAAAGTACAATTAAGTCGAATCTACAAAAGCTTTGAAAGTTGGATTCGTTTCCATTTAAGAAGCGTTGATACCAATTAGAGATGTCGATGAACATAATGATACTGTGAGAAATCAAGCTCGAGATCTCGCAAGGAAAATGTTCTCTCTCGTAACAGCTTTGTACATTGTCTTCTAGAATGATAAAGTCCTAGAGAAATACGTTGGACACATACGAAAATTGTCTACTATTCGCGACTATGAATCAGTTCGTGTCATCGACGATACAACTTTCATTCAGGGACAAACTTCGTACGGTATCATTTATTCCGGTGATAGGTAATACATTTATAACAGCGCTCAATGACCGAATTACGTAAGTTTGTGAATGCACGATTTAGTTTGATGGCTGATTTGCTCGGTATGCAAAGTCGCGATATCGTACAAAAACCCGTAAAGGAACATCCTCGGAATGTGGAATAATATCACGTTATTGCAGACAAAAATTCGCATTTTACGTTCGTTAATGGAAATCATCGATGTACCTATCGATAATGGTAAAGAATTTCGCTAACGAAAGGTCATTTTCAAAACTAAAATCGTTCGAAAATCAACTTCGTAATAGAATGAAAGAAGATCGACTTGTTTGTCTGATTTTTCTCAGCTTAGGGGATTTATGTACTTCACGAACTAAATTTGGCATGATATTATTACCATTTTTGCAAGTCGAAAAGAATCGTTCCAGTAATATATTCTTAATATACGCTTATAATATTATCAACGTAAACTTGTTTTAGATTAACCAAAATTACTATAGTGCACCCCGAAAAAAGTCAGCTAAATATATTTCTCGTAACACATGGTTTGGTAACTATAACCAGATAATGTTACTGTAACCATATCATATGTTGAGAGAAATATATTTTCTAGCTGGTGTGTTACGCACTAGTTTTAATGCAAAACTTCGTTAGGGCCCGGTCGTGCCACTGCAGTAGTCACCACCTAACGTAACTGATGTATTTTGCGCTACAGATAAAGATTTAATAAAATTTATATAAATTTGTAGTAAAATTAGGTAAATACAATACTCATATGCTTACAAAAATCCGTTGATGAAACGAAGCAGAACCATGACCCAAAAGTTAGGGGCGAAACTGGAGAGAACTGTAACTGCGAACCCTGCCAGCAGTGTGGGCCGAATAACTCTGCGACGTCCCTTTGTATCCGCCAAAAATCCCCATAAATGAGAACTTGAAATAATACCCAAAAAACCGATCGCACTAAGCACACCCTTGTCCTGATTCGATAGTTGTAGATCACATTGCGCGATGGGCAAAATAAAGCCCATACCAGCTGTCTCTAGCAGAACTGTGGCCAGCACCATTCCAGAGATACAAATCAAAAAATAATTAAATTTACCGAAACCTGAAGAAAGAATAGTAAACATTTTTATTACATACATACATGTGCACATTAGGGTGGTCCAAAAATAGTGAAGTCGAAATTTCAATGCAACCCCCTAGGATTGATCTATATCAAAAAAGGTATACCCCCATTTTTTTATTTTGAGCGTGTGTGAATCTTTGTTACCGATTCGCTGCGAGTAAAATTTTAGCAAGTATGAGGTGTATACAATTTCAATAGCTCATCTTCTTCTTCTTATTTGGCGCAGTAACCGCCTAAGCGATTTTGGCCGAGTCCAAAACAGCACGCCAGTCATTTCTCTTCTGTGCTAACTGACGCCAATTGAAAATGCCTAGTGAAGCCAAGTCCTTCTCCACCTGGTCTTTCCAACGCAGAGGAGGCCTTCCTCTTCCTCTGTTACCAGCATCGCGGCCCGCGTTGAATATTTTCAGAGCAGGAGCGTTTCTGTCCATCCGAACGACATGGCCAAGCCAGCGGAGCCGCTGAATTTTAATTCGCTGCACTATGTCTATATCGTTGTAAAGCTCATACAGCTCATCGTTAAATCGTCTGCGATATTCGCCATCACCAACGCGTAAAGGTCCGTAAATCTTTCGCAGAATCTTTCTCTCGAAAACTCCAAGAGCCGCCTCATCAGATGCTTTCATTGTCCATGCTTCCGCGCCATACACCAGCACAGGCATGATGAGTGACTTATAGAGTGTGATCTTTGTACGACGAGAGAGGACTTTACTTCTCAATTGCCTACTCAGCCCAAAGTAGCACTTGTTGGCAAGAGTGATTCTCCGTTGGATTTCAAGGCTGACATTATTATTGGTGTTAATGCTGGTTCCCAAATAAACGAAGTCGTCTACTTTTTCAAACTTGTAACTGTCAACAGTGACGTGGGTGCCAAGACGCGTATGCTCTGACTGTTTGTGTGCTGACAGGAGATACTTCGTTAGCTCATGGGCTAGTGAAATTTTTGACAAATGCATACACAGTTTTGACAATCGCAAAGACTGTTGATGTGTATAATTTTTCTGCCCCAATTTTAAGCAAAAACAATAAAATATAAGGAAATTGAGTTTCTGTTGGCAAAATTAAGAAGTATTACACTGCATTAAATACGAGGGTGGATTGAAAAGTCGTTAGAATGAAAAACTAGACATTGGTTTTTTAACAAAAAATTGATTTATTTTTCAACATAATCTCCTTTTATGTCAATACATTTTTTCCAACGCTTTTCTAACATATTTATTCCTTCTCTAAAATAAGTTTTTTCAAAACCTTCAAAATAAGTATTTGTTGCAGCTATAACTTCACTATTTGACACAAATCTTTTTCCGACGAGCCATTTTTTCATATTTGGAAAAAGGAAAAAGTCACTGGGAGCTAAATCTGGCGAATATGGCGGATGAGGGAGCAATTCATAGCCTAACTCATTTATTTTTTCCTGCGTTTTCCAAGATGAATGTGAAGGAGCGTTATCATGATGAAAGAGGATTTTCTTCTTTTTCAAATGTGGCCGTTTTTGCTTAATATTTTGGTCCAATGTATCCAACAAAGATGAATAATATTCAGCTATGATGGTTTTACCCTTCTCAAGATAATCTATGAAAATTATACCTTGTGCATCCCAAAAAATAGATGCCATAACCTTACCAGCTGATGCAACGACCTTTGCCTTCTTTGGAGCACTTGAGCCACGTTCTACCCATTGTTTGGACTGTTCTTTAGACTCTGGTGTATAGTGGTGGATCCACGTTTCATCCATCGTTATGAAACGACGCAAAAATCCCGATGGATTTCTGTTAAACATGTCTAAACCAACTTTTGAAGTCGACATTCGGTTCATTTTTTGCAGAGGAGTTAGCAAACGCGGCATCCATCTTGCTGAAAGCTTTTTCATACCCAATTCATCATGTATTATGTTATGCACACGTTCATAACTAATGTTCACAATGTCAGCAATCCCTCTCAATTTAATTCTTCGAACTTGTGTGACAATTTTGTACACTTTTTCCACCGTTTCTGGAGTCGTTACCTCTTTTGGCCTCCCAGAGCGTGGCTCATCTTTGGTGCTTATCCGACCACGTTTAAACTCGTTTACCCAATTGTAAACTGTTGCATTTGAGGGTGCATGTTCCCCTAATACTGTCTGCAACTCCTCAATAATTTGTTTCTGGTTTAAACCTTTCAAATGAAAGTACTTTATAACAGCACGAAGTTCACTTTTTTCCATTTTTAATAAAAATACAATAGTGTTTTGCAAAAATAATTCTCAAAAAAGTACCGTTTGACCATATGTTATGAAATTTTGACAGCTCGCTTTTGACAGTTCACTTTTAACATTCACAATAATTAAGTAAATTAATGACCGATAGATGTCGCAATTCTAACGACTTTTCAATCCACCCTCGTATTTCCGATAAATAAATTTCTTTAATGTTTCAAACGCTTTAATTGATTAAAATTAAATTGATTAAAAACTTAAATTGATGAATTGCAATCAATAATGATAAATGTTTTCTTAAAATATTCATTTCACTTCATTTTATAATATTTTATTCTACTGATGTCAAAAATTTAATGTTGTCAAAAAAGATTTCATTTCACACATCAGATTTGCAAAACTGTCTCCCCATAGTAAAAATAATATTCACCAGCTTTCCCCACAGAACTTTGTTACCGATTCACACACACCTTTTGAAATCAAAAAATTTTTAAGGTCGCTCAAAGCGCTCAAAGTTTTCCATGTATTTTATATGGGAAAAAACACTTTTCGTAGAAATGGTATACAATTCTTGAAAATCAATATTTTTCGATCGGAAACCCCAGGAGACTAGTAATAGTAATACCCAATTGTTATTTAATCATTTTTTAATACTAACGATATTTTATTTGTAGCCCCATTGCAAAATAAAAAAAATAGGGGATTGATTCTATTTCAATTCATGCAGGGTGAATAGGTTCAAAATTCGATATCAAGTTTAATATGATTTTTCGTGTTTTTTAGGGCAAATAAAGAGTCACGTATTTTTTGGTTTTGCGAAAAAAAAATTCGCCGAGTTACGAGCATATGAAAATTTTAGGGCAAAATGTGGCTTTAGAGAAAAACGGCTGACAATTTTTTATTCAAATCTTTCTGGTTTTTAGAAAAACCAATATTTTTTTATTCGGTTTTTTGATTGTAGAAGTGTTTCTGATGCTTTATATTTGCATAATTGAAAATTTAAAAAATTTACAGAATTAACAAAATGGCGGCCATTTTCTCAAAAACATCATTGATTGAAAAATTGTTTTTGATTACTAGATAAAAAGAGAACTTTTTCCAATAGGTTTGATGCCCGTTTAACGCCTCGATAGTCGTAAGAATTTTTTTCTGAAAATAAGAAGACTCAGCATTTTGGGTAATGTAGCACCATATATTATTCATATAAATATTCTGTTTCTTGATCTCAGTAGTATTTTTCATGATATTTCTTCACAAATTTTCATATGCTCGTAACAGCGATTTTTTTTTTCACAAAACAAAAAAATAAGTGTCTTTTTATTTGCCCTAAAAACATTTAAAATCGCATTAAGCTTGATTTCGAATTTTGAACCCACTCATCCTGCATGAATCGAAATAGAATCAGCCAGGGGTATATTTTTTTCGGTATAGAAGATTCCGACTTTACTTTTTCACATGCATTTTTGGACCACCCTTATTTACATGCGTTCCATATTTATTCATATCTATTTGAAAATTTCAACTTAATTTACTTACTTGTTAGCGCCAAGGAATCACTGAAAGTGTAGGCGTCTGGGCCACGATATCTATTCACCGTTGCAGCATCTTGAAGGAATAGAGTTTAACATATTTAAGAATAATCATAAAATTAAAAAATCATAAATTATAAAAAATAAATGCTAAAAACCGGTTATAATATTCAATTTGAATTGAATATTTTAATTCAGATAAGAAAAAGCGCGATTTACGTACATAAATATGTACATCAATATGTACATATGTATATGACCCATTCTTTTTTAAGTCGAACGGATTTCGTAAAAATTTATGTCATGGCTCCGATTCGCTTCAAATTTTTTGTATGGGTTCTACACAAGGCATAACAAGGTAGAAGTGATTTCGACATTTCTCTCTTTTGAACTGCGACTGAAATGTCAACTCTTAACCCTATACTATTCAAAATTTTTTTCTGTGCGACTGATTTTAAATACATAATAAAATGAAAAGGAATTGCGAGCGGTGCGTTGTGTTTGTCAAGAGCCTGGACAACAAACTTGTGCGTTATTTTAAACCTTCGAATTGTCAAGTGAAGCGACAACGGTGGGCAAATTGATGCGATGTTTCATTAGGAGACTCTTCACGTGTGGTCGTGACTTTATTTGTTGTCTATCGCAGCCGAGTATTTCTAAGTGGACGCGTTTGGTCCCAGGTGCAGGATTTATCAAATCAAATTTCAAATAGTGGTCTGATAAAACCTAAACCAGTATTCCTTGTTGACATAAAGAAACTGAAGGTAATTTTTAATAAATTTAATGGAAACGAAATTTCGAATAGCAAAAATTTAATAGCTAAATTATTGAAGTTAAGTTCTGATGTAAATTTAGAAGAATCAAACTTTTTTAATGTCTAATATACCTTAGAATTAAGTATTTGAATAAAAAAATAAATGCTCAAAAATATTGGGATAATAAAAGCAAGAAAATTGTCAAAACGATTTTATAAATGAGTGTGTTTCATTTAGTGTGTAATTTTGTGTAAGTATGCATTTCCACATTTACATTAAACAGAAAATTCAATAAATAAAATGAAGCTGATTCTAATGAGATTTTAAATATTTTCATATTTACAAAAACTTTCATTTCAAAGATGTTGAGTTCTATCAAATATGGTAAATGCATAACAAAGGGTTAATTTCTTTGTTTACATTTTTTGACATTACAGTCAGGTATGAGAGAGCTCGACTGAATTGTCACTTCTACCTTGTTGAATATGCCTTGGTTCTACATATGAAATAAGCTAACAAGTATTCGAGGAATTTTTTTTCTTCGGAGATATGATCTGTTAAATTTTTGCATTTTTTCGTGATTCTGACTAATCATGTACTTCTTCAAATCGTTATATCTCGGGTTCTGCTCATCGTACAGACTTCATCTTAACGTCGTTTTAAAGCTAAAGAAACGGGCTTAACATTTCCTCATATAAGATGGTCAAGATTGTCCTAAAGCTAACTTAGCTATTCACAGCTGAACTTTTTGAAGTTGATTTGCATAGTGAAGACTCGAAATTATACCATCGTAATCCTTGTTTAATTCTCTATAAAAAAACGGGATTAAAAAATGGGGGTTTTTCAAGAACTATTTTTAAAATATTTTTCTTTATGACGTGAGATGGTTTATTTTGTGAGAATCAACGATTTTTTGTAATTTATTTTCGAAAAAAAGTAAAATTTCATTGCGGATTCCGGTAGAATGCCTATCCAGAAATAATATTTATACGGCAAGATTTTTCTGTAAGGCGGCAAACCCCTAGAAATGGGCGTGGCAATTGCAGTACTAAAGTTAGCAAAACGCGGATTTTATTGTGGATTTCGGCAGAATATCGCTTCGTTAACAACATTTGTTCCACAACTTTTCAATCCATCTAGATATTCTGGAGAAATCCACAATAAAGTCTTAATTTATGACCTTTGGTTTTAGTATAGCCACGCCCAACAAATGTTGTTAAAGAAGCGATATTCTGCCGCTACGCTCATTTTCCAAAATTTTATCATAAACGTATTTTTTGGTAAAGAATTGTGGCAAGCATCAATTTTGAATAAATTAGCTTTAATATTTACTGATTTATCGAAGATTTTGTATTTCTCTAAATTACCGTTATATGGGATGTGGGCGTGGTTATTGTGCGATTTTGAAAATTTTCGGCCGTTTGGTATGTTGTACCAAGGCCAACAACTGAGCGAAGTTTGGAAGATATTGGTTCAGCGGCTACCAAGATATACACATGTAACCATAAGTGGGCGTGGCCACGCCCATTTTTCAAAAATGTATAATATTCTTATTTTTCGTCTAAAATTTATTGAAAAAATCCATTTTGAGTGAGTAATCTTATATTTGAAGTGGGCGTGGTTACAGTCCGATTCCGGCCATTTTCAATACCACCTACCTTGGATAAATGGAAACCTACATACCAAATTTCGTCTCAATTTTCGATCGAGTTATCGTGTACACGGACGGACGGACAGACAGACAGACGGACGGACAGACAGACATGGCTTAATCGACTTCTCTATTAATTCTGAGCATATATGTATACATTTGTCTATATCTAGCTCGATTCGTTTTGGCTGTTACAAACAATCGTTATGTGAACAAAGTTAATATACCCTTGTGCACAAGTGCGCTCGGATATAAAAATTTCCTCGAATACGTGTTAGCTTATTTCATGTATAGAACCCATAAAAAAAATTTGAAGCCAATCGAAAGTGTGACACCAAATTTGGTGTCCGATATGAAAAAGAATGTCTGATATATGCACCAAATGTTTATATGTATGTATATACGAGTAGTAATATGTATATATGTACTAGGGATGTTAATTTTTTCGATTTTTGCGATCCCGGGATTTTCGGGACATCGTTTATACAATCCCGGGATCTCGGGATTTAGATATGCCTTATTTTCCAACAACTTAACATGAAAAAATTGCATCCATATAGTTTGAGAAGCTGTCCTACCATATAATAAATAAATGGGTTTGAAACCTACTTTATTATTTAGGTTGAAAAATATTTCATTAGTAACAAAACAAAAGACAGTAATTAAATTTATACGCATTTAACAATACTTTAGCGTGTACATATCTGATAAAGTAACTTAAGGCATGTCGAAAAGAGCTAGTAGCAGAAACACCTTATTTCAACCAGTTTAGTCTATATTTCTTTTCTTTATTTTATATTTACATTTTTTAAAAAAGGCAACCTCATTTTACATATATTTAACTGCATTTAAATGCGCATTTCAAAATTTGTACAAAAATTATGGAAATGCGAAAAATTGTGCCAAAATTTCAAACTTTTTACTCACCATTTTTAGAAAAATGTGATGTACGCAGTTTTATAACCCTTTAAATTAAAGTAGGGTAAAATGCAAGTTTTATGCAGTTACAAAATACCGCTGATTTTTGGGATTTTTTAAACGATGCTGGGCATTTTCTTTCATATATTTAAACAAATTGCCGAACATACTTTGTATGGAATTTGTAGAATACATACTGGATTTAAAAAAAAAAATTAGGGCCTTTCTATATCAAGGTGACGATATGTTCAGTGACGATCACGTAAATAGCACACATTTACTTTTAAAAATATTCCCAATGTTTTACGTGATACATTTTTTTCGTTATTGTTCTTTTTAATAATAGATTCTATTACATAAACCATAAAAGTAAAAGTTTCAGAATTAAAAAAAAAAAAGCGTTATATGGAAGAAAATGCATTACACCCTCGACAAAAAAAAAAACATTCTCAAAAAAAGTCTGAAACTTTGACTTATATGGTTTATGTTATAGAATCTTTAACACGTAAAACATTGTGAAAATTTAAAAAGTAAATGTGTGCTATTTACGTAAGCGTCCAGTGAATACATACAGTACAATATTAAAAAAAATCAACAAATTCGAAAAAATTTCGATCTTTTTTATTAAATTTCCTAGAAGGATTCTGAGTATACAGTTTGTGATATATACAATGTATATGTACCATGATGTATACAATTTGTGAATATTATATTAGAAGGTGTATGCTAACTTTTGACGCCGATTGTATTTCTTTTTCTTAGGCTTTTAACAGTGAAGGCCCTCTCAGCAGCTTTTTATTGAATCCATATGAAAAGGAAAATAAATTGCCTACGGAGTAGCCTTTGGACGTAAGCAAAACGCTTAATCGCTGTGAAAAAGGAAGAGCCATATTAAGCTTCAACAGCAACAATAATTATATACTAGAAATTCATCGCCAGGACGTGATTCTAATAATTTTAGAAGAAGTATTTAGTCTACAACTAGACTTACACTGCGCCGACTTTAAAAAAATTTCGAAGCAAATATCGTCTATCTTTCAAAATGAACCCGAGGTAATTTGTTTTTTACTTTTTGGACTTTCCTGAGTTTGAATTATATTATACATATATAAATTATATTCCTTATTCCGGCCTTATTTTTAAGGAGTATTACTACATTCCCCGAGGCCCACGTCGAAATCCTGGAGGCAAACTTAACGACAAGTATCATAACATAAAAAATAGACAACGCAAAACCAAAAAAATTGACATCCAACCAGCGAACAATGAAGATTTCGAAGACGAATTTGACGAAACGCACCTTCAAAATCTGAAGGAAAAGTTGATCCAAAGTCCTGCTGAGGGTTTTTGCTATTATTCAAACCCACCTAAAGAATCTGAAATTTGGCGTCAAACTATAATTTTGCGCAAGAGAGATTTGCGAAACGTGAAAAACAATTCCTGTTTTTTAGAGGTTTGGCTATAAATTGGTAAGTCATAATTTTGCTTTTTAAATGCATTACGCACACATTTTTATAACGTTTGCACAATTTACAAATTTATAGATTGAGTATGATTTTGAGGTCCTACACCCAGAAAAGGGAGACAAGTTAGCCTCAAAATGGAATAATTTTAAGAACAATATCAGCAACTACTACGAACAGTTTGTGAAGGACAGAAAGTCCGGAGAGGAATACGTGTCGGCAAAACGAATAACAAATGAAGGTAGTTGTCTTCAAAATATTTTTGTACGGTAGAATATTTATAAATATCATTAAGGTCCTAATGTTTATGCAATTTCTCTTTTCAGACAGTATTGACTACATTATTTCCAAATTACTTCACAGCATCATATTACCAAGGTCAAGACGGTAAAACTAAAAAAAAGTTCACCATTGTAGATGCTCAGGAAAGCTTTACTCTGCATTTGACTGCAATTAACAACTATAAAGTACGAGTACGAGAGCTACAAGAAAAATATTTTGCTGCTGCATTAACACTGCAACCACTTATTATAGTCGTAGGTAATGATATATGCCAACTTAACGAATTTTATGTGCATTTTGATGGAATACTTTATAAACAAAGCTCATACCTTAACTGTTTATGTATTTGCTTTAAAATTTTTCACGTACTAAATTTAAATTACCCACTTGCTAGTGAAAATGTATGGCTTTTCATACAAAATCATTTCTATTCTATAAGCACTCGATATGATAAGCCTTCTCCGGCAATCGTGGCCTTACTAAACTACTTTAAGGGTAAAGAGTAACATCATATTGTAGTTTTAAAAACGTCATGAAATATTTATGTTTTCAATGTATTTCTAGCTTTTTAAAGGTAGATGAATTACTCGAACATCTAAAAGTATGTCATTTCATAAGAAGTTTTGATAGAGTACAATGCAAGCAGTTTAATTGTAAGCAAGTTTTTACCAATCTCAAAGCATTTCGTTCATATTTAGTAAAGACTCATTCAAAAGATTGCATATCATACACCCAAAACTATGAACACCAGATAGCTCAACATAGGGAAAGAGATGTGAACTGTATTGAAGCCCCCCAATCAAACTTTTTAACTTGTGAAGCCAGTGAAGAAAAATTACTTTATCCAATAATAGATAAACTAAAGAAACAGTTCTTTTTGTTCACTTTAAAGTTGTATGCTAAAGACAATATACCTCGTAAAGATGTCGTTGCAATACAAAGTATTGTTACAGAAATTGTAATGTCTCTAGTTAAATTATTCGAAGAATTTAAAACTTCGGATAATACAAGAAATTTAAAGTTGATTCTCGAAATATGTAGTGTTCCGTATAGAAGTTTTAAAACAGAACATTTGTTTTTTAAGTATATGGAGAGTATTTTCTTATTTAAGCCACCGCAACCATTTCTAATATCAAACATATTAGCTGAAACTGTTCAGCGAGGTCAACCTACTTTAGGCATCAAGCCCATTAATTATTACTTAATGTCAGTTAGGTTTCAGATAAAAAGGCTCTTTGAATTGCCTGGTGTCCTCGACAAAACCTTGACAAATATTAAAAACGATATCCAAACCCATGAAATTGAAAACTTCGTTAACGGAGATATATTTAAACGGAAAACACAATTTTTAAAACAAGAATATGTTATACCATATATACTTTTTTTTGATGATTTCGAGTTGAATAACCTTTTGGGTTCACACACTTCTGCTATATGCGCTGCTTATTATATGTTTCCAAATCTTCCTGAACATCTTCTCTCAAAATTAGACTTAATTTTTTCTTTTGGATTCGTTGAAACAAAGAAATTGAAGGCCATGGGAAACAGAACAACTTTAACCCCCCTTATTAAAGAAATAAAATATCTGGAAGAAAAAGGTTTAGAGATTAAAATCGACGATAACAGTTTCCAAGTATATTTTGTATTAGGCTTAGTAGTAGGGGATAACCTTGGTTTGAATACAATCTTGGGGTTTTCTAGATCGTTTAACAGTTCTTTGTTTTGCAGAGTTTGTAGATTAGACAAAGTTTCAACTAAATCCACTTGTGAAGAAAATTTACACTTGCGTAATATAAGAAATTATGAAGAAGATATACAACATAATTGTTCCCAAATGACAGGAGGGTATGAAAATTGTATTTTTTAATGCAATTGGTACATTTCATGTTACCGAGAACTATGCATTTGACATAATGCACGATCTCTTTGAAGGTGTATGTGTATATGACATATGTAATATTATACTTTCTTTACTTAACTCTAATTACTTTACCCTTGAGGAATTGAACTCGAGAAAAACTTTATTTCCATACTGGGAGACCGAAATAGCTAATACATCTCCTTCACTGGAGCTAAATAAACTTAAATCTATGCGACTTAAAATGACGGCTAGAGAATGCTTGACATTTTTACACTTTTTGCCACTAATGATAGGAGATAAAGTCCCTCGGGATAGTGACCATTGGAAGTTATGTTTACGTATTGAAATTGTCGACTTTGTTCTCAAGCCTAGCTTTAAAATACAGGGAGATATTGAACATTTAGAGAAGCTTATTAGAGATCACCATTCGCTCTATATATCTTTGTTTGGCGAAACTCTCAAACCAAAACATCATTTTATGACTCATTATCCTTCAGCATTAAGAATGTGTGGTCCGCTGAAAAAAATTTGGTGCTTTCGGTTTGAGGCAAAGCACAGACAATCAAAGATGTATTCAAAAAGTATTACTTCAAGATTAAACCCACCCTGGTCTCTTGCTACCAAGGCTTCGCTGAAATTCTCAGAATTTTTAATCAAATACTCCGAAGGATTGCCTATCGATTATGAGCTGAAGACCTTTACTGTTCTAAATTTGCGTTCTTTACCTTGCTATGATTCAATTGTTGACTCAGATGCACCACAAGGAAATTTCAGAGAAACGAATGAAGTCAAATATAGGGGAAACCAAATTTATGTGTTGTGTTATTTTATTGAAATAAATTTATTTGATAAACACTTTCAAGCCTTTGAGATTGGTAAAAAAACGTAGCAATGAAATTTATTTAAGGAATATATCATTTTTTACAATCCCACCACTTATCATATATACGATTAACAACGGAAAATCATATGTTAGAAATAAGTTTCTTTAATTACATACTTATTTGGTAAAAAATACAGTATCGGTCATATCAACAGCACCCCCATTTCAAAGTGATATTGTTTGCCAGATATGTTTATGTACTTATTTATTTTCCAAAATTTTCAATTGAAATAGAGTTCATTCTCTAGCAAAACGCATATTAACCTCAGTTTGAAACTTTGTAGAAAATTACAAAAAAAAAACTACATTTTCATCCAAATTTCAAACTTTTTCTCTGAAGTCTTAGAATTGATGAATGATGAAAGTTGCTGTTTTTTTTAGTTTTCTACATGAGCTCTAGAAATTTGAAATTCTTAAAAATAAATAAATAAACACACCTGGCAAACAATATCAATTTGAAATGGGAGTGATATTTATGTGACCGATGCTGTATGTGAATATTAGCTTAAATATGAGTTTAGAATTATCTATCTTTAAATATAAATTAAATCTATACTAAAACTTAAAATAAATAAATCATAATTCAGCTTGAATAAAACCGTGTTTAATTTAACTATTACCATATTGAAATTTTTTAAACAAATCCAGGTAAAATCGAACCCAAATTGGTTGAGTATAATAAACAACTCATTGTTCAAATTAAATAAAATCATATTCAATTTAACTAAGCAAACCCAACTTGGTTGAGTATAATAAACAACTCATTATTCAATTTGAATAAAATCGTATTCAATTTAACTATTTACCTGTTTAAATTTTTTGAACAAATTCTGGTTAAATCAAACCCAACTTGGTTGAGTATAATAAACAACCCATTATTCAATTAGAATAAGATCGTATTTAATGAAACTATTTCTCTGTTTAAAATTTTTGAACAAATCCACGTAAACTCAAACACGACATCGCCATCATAAATAGGCTTCATTTCAAGTATTTTAAATATATTATTACTAATTTCAAAAATATTCATGGTAATATTAAGAAAGAAATTTCAAAACACACCAAACAATGAATATACTCACGACACTATGGGCCAAATATGGTAAAACTGCGTTTTTAGTTTTATACTTTTTGATTAGAACTTTATAATTTCAAAGATAAGATACATTCTAAAAATTATTAAAAGTGCAATGTAGAACTAAAATAGGTACCAAAGAAAGAGAAAATTCTGTAGGATTTAAAAAAAATAAATTTTTTTGGGTTCACAAGGACGAACAGGTGTTGAAAATATCCTTTTAAGCAATTTTATATTTTTAAGCTAATAAAGTTAGAAGGACTATATTCGAGGAAGTTGTCGAATTTATATTAGTCTTTAACATATAATTTTTCAAAATAAATATTGCAAAATGCCAAGGATATTTAGGATCAAAACTTTTAAGGACATTTTCAATATCTTATGCACCAAAATATTTAATCTGTTCTTTCTCTACAGAATTTTCTCTTTAATTTGTTACCCATACTGTTTTTCTACACATTGCAATAAATTTTTTAAACCATTTTCTGAACTACTCATATTATTCAATTTTCAGTCCTTTTAATAAATCCTGACCGAGAGAAAAACTAAAAACACAATTTTACTGCATATATTTGGCCCATGGCTTCGAAAATATATTGGTTTTTTTGTGTGTAAAATTGCCTCTCGCACGGTGTTATGTGTATGTATAATTAGCTAGACATTTATTAAAATATATTAAATATTAAATAAACAAAAGAAATATAGCAAAAACTGGTCATCATATTATTGCCACCTTTGCAAATTACAAATCCCGAAAGTCCCGGGATTCTTGGCAATTAATACCGGGATTTTTTTGGCACTTAAAAAAGGCCGGGATCCCGGGTTTAACATCCCTAGTATGCACCCAGTACGGCATAGCTCAACCTATTACCTCAGAAAAAGTAATTTATTTCTACTTATTTAGCAACTAACTTCAAATTGATGTGTAATCACCAGAGAACGGTTTTTTAGGACCTAAAAACCTATAAAAAAGGCAAAATAAAATAGCGAAAAAGGCAGGAAAATGCACTAGGTATTGCAAAAAAAGCAAAATAAGGCACTAAAATAAGACAGAAAATACGAAGAACAATCAAAAAATACATATTTTAGAAATGTTTATATTAAAAGTAAAAAGAGAAAAACTATGAACTAGTTTCATTATATGAAAAATTTGTACTTTGAATCTTTGACTATTTTATCCTTTCGAGTTTCTAACTCATAAAACTTTAATCTGTATAAGTAGTTGTAGTAACATTGAATCACAAGATGCATTTTGAAGTTTTCTGGCAGCATTTTCATTCGATTTTCGCGAGGAAAAGCCTTGAATGTACTAAATGTGCGCTCGACGTAAGTTGATACATGTGGAGCCCAATTTAAATATGGAACGTTTGAAACGTTCATATTATCAGGAATAAGGGCGTTTTCCTCGCCCTTTACAATTTTATCCACACCCCTTATTGTCTCCAAGCCTACGTTAGCTGAGAAAACGGCTTTGAATTTTTCCAACAGCAATTTGGCAAGAGGTCCCTGCGCTTCTATAAGCCGCATGGGCATGTGTATATTTTTTAATTTAAAAAAAAAGTTGTAAATGCTATAATCACTTTTTTAAAGGTAGAAAAGGCATAAAAAGGCAAATATCTTAAAAAAGGAAACATCAAATGTGTATATATGGAATCAGGGAAAGCTAAATCGTGGACATTCTTAATCGAATATACTCTATCTCTTTAGCAGAAAAAAAGGCAATTTCCATAAAATCAGTTCCCTGATAATCACCTAACAGCTTCATTGAGATAAACCAAATGCTTACACTTTTGATGCAAATAATTCAATATTAGTTGAAAAAACATCTAACTGGGGTCAATTAACTATTTCAGCATAAAATATTGCCTTTGAAGTGCTTTAAGCCAAATCCATTTTAAAGTAGTTGAAATCTAATGCAGAGTCAGATAATTGACTGATGCCTAGGACATCGCCATGTTAAAGTCAACAGTTCGTTCCAAGGAAGAAATTCAGATCTGAACTGGTTGAACATCGATATTTTCCGTACTGGGCACATACTTACATATGTACACGTGTATGTATATATGTATGTACCTAAGCATGTATATCAGCGAATGAAATTTTTTGCATTAAATAAAGTGATTGTAGATTTCGCAAGTAGTCTGTGGGAAAAGTGGTAATTCTGAATATTTAGATTCGTAGTGAAGGGAAAAGTTTTTTGTGTTGTTCAAGCAAATAATTAACAACTACTTCTTAAGGCAACAATGCTGACTCTTTACGAGTAATATGTACGCGATACTTATGTACATATAGGACTATACGCTAAAACCACAAGTTAATTCCGATTCCTCCAAACCGATAGAATAACAAAAGCGCTATTAAAATTGGTGCACATCAGGCTACAGATTAGAGCTTCTAATTTAGACGTATCGGTTGACGTCCAAAGGGCTAGTCTAAAAAGCATTGATCGTCGTGTGAATAGCGCAATGCTGTGGGACCAGATTAGTATTTGGAGCGGAATCTAGCTCCTTTTTAATCAATTTAGCATTTCAATTGCATTTAGAATTCTAAAATTTTCCAAAAACCCTTTTGTATTTTGAAAATACATATATCTGTAAATAAAAACTAGTCCTTTTTGAACTTAATTTCAAGCATATCGCCTCATTATGCGCATGTACATACTAATTATATGTTACAACAAATAACACTATTGCATACAGTCCTGTCAATTTGGCTCAATTCGTGCCATTTTTGGCCCTATTTTACGTTTTACGTAATTTTTCAATTTGGGACAGGGTTGCTCCCTGCACTTTTAAAAAAAATTAATATTTCACAACCTTTTGTAAAATCCGTCAGGTGTACTACTTTTTCACCAACAAACATTTCCTAGTTTCTAAGGTTTATACAACTTGTTTATATTTTATTTTTTGGTATTGTATTTACTTTTGTATTAAAAACATTGTACTTATTTGATTGCTAAATGTGAAAGAAAGATATAATCTTCTTTTAATTAAAAAGAATTACATTTTATTTAGCACTCTTATTTTTCCATTTGGCACTTTTTTTATCCCCTCGTACCTAAAGGTAATTGACAGCCTTGATTGCATCATCCTTTTTACTACAAAAGAAGCAAATGAAATCAAACCCATTCCTATTTAATCATGTACTTACGTATCTGCGTCAAAAACATTCTAATATTAATGAATAAAACATTTATTCTAGATTTAATGGTGACTTAGGAACACTAAAGTGGTGTTGGAAACTACTTTAGTGTACATATTCAATACGGCCGCCGAGTTGCTAGAGGTGCGTCCACCCGGTAGTGCCTGGGTACCATTCCAGGTCTGAGCAGCATCCAAAACAAAAAAGGTTCCGAGTGTACTTTTGCCTTGAAAACTCTTCTCACAAACTTCGTTTGCCGTTCGGAGGCGGTAGAACTTTGGCGTTGCGTTGGCGTTGTCGTCGCTTCAACAGCTGATTGTGAATACATGAATGCAGCCGTCCACATAGCCAAAATTCAGCAACGCTCACGCCAACACAAAGCAAAAAGATGGCCAACTCTCAACTTTTCGCGTGCGTCGCTCGTCAGCTGTTGCAAATAAATAAAACTATGTGAAATATTTTTCCTTTTTAATCAAGTACGGGCAAGAAATATCGGTTTTAATGCAACTATTGATATGAAATATTAATTTATCTGTCGTTAGTATGTTAATTTAGTGGCCCAAGCATTCGCTGACAAGCGTTCATTGTAGCAAGCATACTTTTAACGTGCGTTCTGCCAAACCAACGCCAACACCAAAGCCAAAGTGAAAGTTCTATGTGGACCGGCCTTAAGCCTTTCCATTTTTATAACGTTGTTTATAACATCAACGCGCACCCCAAAAATTGGAGGAGAAACTCGGCCAAGCACTTAACAAAAAAGTGGGCACCAAAAAATATACATATCACACACCTAGATCTAAAGTGTGATCAATTCAATAAATCAATGCTTAGGACTTACCTCCAGTGAATGCAAACATGGTTGCCACTCGCCAAACTTTTTTTTCTACCAAAATCTCTTAAGAAAAGTTACCAAAAGTTACCAAATCTTCACTACCAAAATCTTCACTTCTTCACTGAGAAAAAAATATATGTACTGAATAAAACTGCTATATTTCACAACAAATGTGTATACCTATACTTACAGTCCGTTAATAATACAGCTTAATAAATTCAATATATTTATAATTTGTCAATTTTTGATTATTTATCAAGAACTCCCAGTTCTAGCACAGAAGTTTAAATCTATTTTCTTGATAAATTATCAAGATTGAAAATGCTATTGACAATTATAATAATTTTTTTTTATTAGAAAATATTTTTCTTACAATGAATTGTTGCATGTGCCGTTGTTCACATTTTCGTTGTTGGTGCTTCCGACAGGGTCGGAGTATGATGTAATGTG